ATATATATATATATATATATTAAATAAATGATAGCACATGTATGACATTGACAAAAAAAGTCAACTTCATGAAAATCAATTGAGAAAATAGCAAGTTCAGATTACATTTCAATGTCATTGCATTGCCCTTGACGGGCACGCCGCCCCATTAAACATGGCCGCCACGTCGACACGTTTGTTTGGGGTGTTGGCGACATCGCCCTGTCAGATCTGTGCCACCAAGTGTTTGAAATGTCCACTAATGACAGCAAACTCTGACACCTTGTCTTCATTTCACAAATCACCTGATTTTCAAACAATACAGACAGCGTTGAAGACACCATGTTTATTTCAGTGACTTAAACATTTGCCCACAAAAACTACTACATTTTTTTTTTTGTCCCACGAGATGCCCTACCCTGCCTGAATATTTATTAACAGTCACCATGTGCCCTCGCAGGCTACTTGTCCAAAGTGTTAAAGAACTACACGGAGCAGGCCTGTGACGGCGAGCTCCTGTCTGCGCGCTGCCCGCCTCGCACCACCATCACGGTCCAATCGGCGTTTTACGGAAGGAAAGGCCCCTCCGACCTCCATCAGTGCCGTGAGAGCTACCAGGCCCTCCTTGGCTATTATGACGCTCGGGGGGATGAGCACTGCTCCGTGTCCACTGCCCTACAGGTAATCACCAAATAAGACGCCCGCTAATAGAATATCGCCCTGTTGCCAATGCTAGCGGGCTAATGTGGCGAACTGATCGGCAACCACATGGATGACTATCACTGCAGGATACGAACACCGATCGTGAACCGACTTTGTGTCATTCGCTCAATGCTGAGAAAAAACATTTCCTCATCATCAAGTCGGCACGAGTTACACAGTAAACTTTGTGGTCAAGGGTTAATTCATATTCGGGGGGCCCGCTGGTGATGTAACGCATTGTGAGTGTGTTTTCCGGTAAATTAAACTTACTGAAGAGGAGGCAGGCTTCTCTTGTTTTCCCGTGACACAAAGCGATTTCATGGGCTCTTTGCCTCAGTATCTATCCCCCCCTCTCAAATTAGGATGCGAGTGCAAGTAGCGCACCGCAATACAAACACACACGCCCGTCTGCCATTCATTCGGCCGTGCGGTGTGTATTTTTAGTACATTGTAGTGTTGAACGGAATAGCCTCGGCCCCCCTTTATGGATGCCCAGAGACATAGAAGCGCATTGTCTTCCAAGTGCAAAAGTGACAGCGCCGTTGTGTGCTGCGGCCCCTTTTCCACCACCGTGACCCGCACTCGGTGATCGACGGCGGAACCGTTCATTTAGTTGAATGTAGCATGTCGTTGACCGAGTGCAGAGACCATCTGTGGCTGGCGAACAGCTAAATTGAATGTCACGTGGTGGACTAATGGAGGATGAAAACTGAGATGGGAAGGGATGAAAGACTGGAGTGGACCTTTCTGGATTTTTTTTAGAATCCTGCTTGAAGTGGTTTTAGGTTTACCTGTTCCTCATTGTGAAACTGTGTTTTTGGTCCTCACCCCCCCCATCCCCTCCACCCCTGTTTAGAAAATGCTGGACGAGTGCCAAGACAGACGGAGCTGTCAAGTTCTCGTCAACAGCCGCGTGTTTGGGATGGACCAGTGTCCCGGCAGCAGCAAATACCTCACGCTCTGGTACAAGTGCAGACCCAGTAAGTCCCTCACTGCATTGCATCTGCTAATGAATATTGATGGTATTTTGCTCCTTTAAAAAGGGGGGGGTGCACAGGATGAACCTGAAAAAAAAGGACTCAGCACATACAGCTACATGTCAGAGGCACTTCAAAAAGGGGGCAGGTGTAAACCCCCCCCCCGTGTCTCATCTCAGACCTCACATAAATCAACCGGTCAAAGAGTCAGCCGAGGCCAACTAAACGATTGCTTGACAGGCAAGGCAGCATTTGGCCGTCAATCATCTGGAATCGGCTCCACCGCCTGTCATCACCCTGAACAGGATCAGCGGGATTGAGAAATGGATGGATATGTTCCTTCGAGGGGGAAAAAAAAAACAAAACATTCTACCATTTTACCAATCAGCTCTCTCCGTGAGCCAGGAAGCTGAGAGCACGGCGACAACAGCGCCGTAATCCCAACCAGACCCTTGTCTTCATTGCAGGCTGGGGGATTTAATCCACTGATCCCGATTTTTTCCTTCCTCCAATCAACAGCTCTTTTGTTCCCTGCCACTTAACCAACGAATTGTCCGTGGGAGGAAAGAAGCGCTGCGTTGGGGGCGGGAGGGGAAAGAAGAGGCGCGCGTAGGATCGAAAGAGGAAGTGAAGGAGAAAGAGTCCATCCATCAGCAAACGACACAACAAGCCAATGGCGCTCCCTTCTCGACTCCTTTTCTCTTCTGCATTCCTGTTGCGCTCCCCACCTGAATGTGGGCTGTTTTTATTTGCCGGCCAGTGGAGCTGCTCTGCTGGTCACAGGTCACCATGACTGGTTGTGTGTGAGGAATGCCGCTGCGTGGCTCTACTTGTCCACCGGGCAACTTTGTCTCTTGTGTGTTGATGCTGCGCGATGCCTTCAGGCAGCTATTGAGAACGGGAACATTTGACATTTTATACCCTATGTTCATACCTGACGACAGTAAATACAGCCTGGAGCAAATGTTCAAATGCAAATGGGGATTGTTTTTGTTGGTCTTGTTGTTAGGCAGATTTTGTATCATCGAATATCTGTTTTGGAAATCACTCCAAAACACCCAAGTGAGATCAAGGCGTTCATTTTGAATCATCGCTCTGTATTAAATGTCGATGACATTGTTTTGACTCCGACAAAAAAATTACAACGGTGAAAAATAGCAAATCAAACTTGGTCCTAATCTTTTTTTTTGTTTGTTTTTTTTGTCCTCCAGATGAATACAAAAGCAAAGTGGTGTGTGAGGAGGACAGGATGAGGCTGAGCTGCAAACGGGGGATGCAGATCGCGGTCTACTCCGCCATGTTTGGTCGCACCCAACAGGGCACTCTTGAGTGTCCCCCGCAGCACAGGAGAGCCTCATCAGTGGGTAAGCAACCATGACGACACTGCCGCGTACCATTCCGTTAAAATGAAAAAAATCAAATTGCATAATTGAGCATTCAGGGATGAACTGTCTTGCTTTTTTTTTTTTTTTTCCTGAAAGGAAAACATACCAGGCGTCACCGTGCGTCTCGCTGTTTTTATTGATGACTCGTACATGTCAGGACTCGAACGCATCTTCAGCACAAAGACCTTCACAAATCCTGCCAGGCCTTAATTCCGCTTTAAGTCTTTTTCTGGGAGGGGGAGGCGGGGGGCGGGCGATGTTGCGCGATTTTACCCTCATGTGCGTTTTGGGAGATTTACAGCTTCCTCCAGTGATTTGTTGACTGACACACCCATTTCGGTGCTTGAAGATGAGACAGATTTATTATCATTTGAAGCCGTTGTTTCCTGGCCGGGCTTTAAATGCATCCTGAGATATATATAAAAGCCCCGTGCACACAGACGCACACATTGTCGGGGCGGAACTGGGTCGGAATGTAGATCGGATGTCATCCCGTGCTCTGATGTGCCGTAGCAAGGGGCACAAGGATTGAATTGCCATTAAGAATGTTTCCCTGCGTGTTTGTGTGTGTGTGAGTGTGCGCCTGGATGCATGACAACGATGCTCATAATTTAACCTCTACGTTTTTATTCTTGTTTACGACGCCAGTGTGAGTTTAAATGGCGAGGTGCACAATGCAATGCCGACATGCCACTGCTGTGTGTGTGTGTGTGTGTGTGTGTGTGTGTGTGTGTGTGTGTGTGTGTGTGTGTGTGTGTGTGGCCCTTTATGCGAACACGGGTTCAAAAGGCTAACACGAGCAGTGTGAGTAAAGCGCATACCGTGCCAATGGAGTGACCTCCACTCCAGTAGCGCAGCAGGTGGCTTTGTGTGTGTAGTGGTGGGTAGATTGGTTGTGTGTGCGTGTGTGTGTGTGTGTGTGTGTGTGTGTGTGTGTGTGTGTGTGTGTGTGTGTGCAATATCTAGTTTCAGGCTCGACATTAAATACAGTAGCGTAACTGTGGCAGTAGCGTTGGCAGATGAACTCTACTGTTACGGCGATACAAAGGCCAGATTAGAGGCAGGGAGAAGCATTGTTGAACCGTCAACTGGCATTTCGCTTTGTGCGCGGTCAACAATGCGCATGGAAACGCCACGCTCGCGTACACTCGCATTCGGGCTGTTCCAGACTGTCGAGTGGGATTCCCCACGTCTTTCATGTGGCTCCCGTGTCACGCCGAGCTGCAGGAAGTGAGCTTGTCATGAGTGACAGCGCAGACCCACACTGCTAATTATCTTTCAAAAGCAGAGTTAGTGACGTCTGGCTCGACATCCAAAGCCGAAATTGGTATTTTTGGTTGTCCTGGCATTTTGGGCATGTTTATTGTCTGCTGTTTTACCAAAAAAAAAAAAAAAAAAAAAAAGGTTTTAGGTCAGTCACAATTGTATTTTTGGAAAACTGAGCTATAGTTTGTGAAATGTGTACATTTTATAGCCAGAGTAGACTACGTGATAGCACGATGAACCCGCGTGACCAGGAATATTTAAAGAGGGAGTGCACAAAAGACATGCGCCCAATTGTAAGACTTCTTTGATGTTATTTTCTCCCCTTTTTTTTTTTCGTGCGGAGTCGGACAGGTCTTAACTGTGATGGAGGAGCCTCAAAGCAGTAGCCCTCTTCTCTCATCTGACTCATTATCATCAGACAAAACTCTTGACATCTAAATTACCCCCCCCCTTTGCCGTGTCTGATATCGCTTTTTCTTTCTCAGGGCCGCTATGCTTTCATGGGTTTCAAACTAAGCCTAAAAAAGACCAGAGGTATGGAGCTCCAAAAAGGACATTGCTATTTTGTTTCAATACACGGTAACTTTTTGCCTCCCTTGGATGTATTAGCAATAAATAATTACTATGTCTACTATTTTTATGGAAGAGGAATTTTAGGTGATATATTGTATTTCTGCGAGTCGTGGCCTCCTCTCAAAATTAATAGCTGGGTGCGCCATCCATTTTACAAACACCTCAAACTGAGTCATACTTATTTTCCTTGATGGAAATAAATAACAGGTGATACAATTTGGCAGGCAGTACTTTTTGTGTTACTCTGAGCACCCCCCTCCCATCATATGGTGTTCCACAGGGTTCAATTTTGGGGCCCCTGTTGTTTCCATTGAATTTGTTGCCCCTGGGTTCCATCTCAAGATAACATGGTGCTCCCTTTCACTGCTTAAGCGAATGACATTCAGAGCTGTCCCGCTAAGCAAAAAGGATATTTTCTCCTTAAGGCCACCTTTGTCCTGTCTGGAAGAAATCAAACAGATCAATTTGGCATCTGTAAAGCAGAACAGATGTCACGTGGAGTTTGTGGACAGAACGTTTTTACAAAAAAGAAATTGAAATTACTAAATGTTTTAGCCCTAAAAGACTCATTGTACACTGTAGTGGAGTAAATAAATGACATCCATGCCACGGCACGAGGAAATACGATATATCATTTAGTGTACCGCTTATGTTCCCACCTATAGCAAAGCACAAATGGCGTTGCAATGAGAAGTCAGGTGTTACTCATGTTATACATATTTTGTGCCCTCAAAATATGCAGCTATCACCTTACACACCATTGCATGTCATATGTCGGCCATACAAAGACTTGAAGTATCACAAGTGGCTTATGTATCAAACGATACGCTTCACATGTAAGTCATATGAGTGGAGGAGGAGATAAAATAGGTCCCCCCTTATTGTAAATTCCCAGACAAGTTGTGTATGTGTGGGGTGGGGTGGACAACCCGGAGTATTGTGTTTGGAGCGGCACCCTCCAGAATATTCTGGGAAATGTGTATTTTCTGAAACATTTGTGCTAATCTTAAGTGAGTAAAAAATAGGTTAGACCTTCCTGTTTGCATCCTTGCATGTTTTACTCACCCATGATGGTACGGTACGGGGCTGTACCATCATGGGTGACCCAAAACAAAGTCTCTCCAATGACTCCCTCACTCCCATTTTTGGATCCTAATCCAAATCCTGTTCTTCTGTGAGACCCCTGTTCTGCTTGTACTCACAGTAGTCAGGCCAGGGAATCCGAATTCGAGCTAATAGGCGCATGTCTGTCAGTGGACACGAACATCAGAAGGAACAGTTTTCAGCAACAAGGCAGGCCAGAACGTCATCATGTCATATTATATCCAATTAGGCTTGCAGTCATGAGGTACTTGGCATGTGTAGCCTGGAGGACTTTATTCAAACGGAATTAAATGTGATGTGAGTCGGAAATGTTTATTTCATTTAAATTGAAGGTTGGGCTTCAACTGGAGTTCAGTAAGCAAGTATGAACGTATTTCGGTTTTTGTTTGGCTTTTTTTTTGGGGGGCGGGGAGTTGGGGGGCTTTTTTGTTACACATATTTCAAAAGCAAAAATATGGCGGTGTTGCAGTATTAATATAACAGCTAAAATGTCCTATTTAAAAATATTTGGGTAAATAATTGTATTTTTATCACCATGTAAAGTTGAAATAAATACATTTTATCGTGCTTCTGTTTTAATTCTTAGTAGGTCACAGTGTCCTGTCACTTTTTTAGAAAAGACCCATTTGGCTACTCCTGTTAACCTTGGGGCTAACTAGTTCCCACTGCCAACATATTTTTTAAGTACGGTCCACATTAATCAACATAATAAAACTGCATCCGTGTTTGCAGTATCTCTTTCGTCTTGCTCCCTCCCCCTTCGTCCATGCGTAACTGCTCACCCCTCCCCTCTCTGCTCTGCGAGGAGACACAAAAAGGTGACTGGCCCCAATTAACCTCAGACGGCTCTTTCTCTCCACTCGATAAGTAGCCAATCATATTGGTCCCTGTTTAATCATGTTGTCCCCTTAGCTCATTAACGGTGACAAACAGTATTAGCCGGTATTGAAACCTTGACTTTTTAAAACCACGCTAAGCTGGCAAACCGCAGATTGGCTTCTTCAGGGATTTTTTTTTTTTTAAAGATTTAAGTTCTCCCTGAAGCTAAAACAAATTGTAAAAATGCTCCTAACCTTCACCTTATCAGTGAGCGCGCACGTGTGGGTAATTGTCCAGTCTCTGAAATGTCTCGACAGTTTTCAAGTTCCACGCTGCTTTCCAACAGGCTTTGACCTCACTGTGTCCTGGTCAGGAATTTCAGATTGTTAGTTCCTGCTGGGGAATGTCCCTTTGCCTCCACCGAAGTGCGTGGGTTCACATTTTAGGCCAATGTTACTGCATTAAAAAGTCCGCGGTCGAATTCACTCGAACATTTCCCCTCTGACTTGTGGCACCGCTCATTGTGGCCTGTTGGCATGTCTGATATCCTCCCCCACCCGCCCGTGGGACCCACAGAGGTGACCCAGTTGAGAATCAAGTGTCCACTTTCAAAGGTTTATCTCCTTGTGTTGTTTATAGAGGTCATAAAGACCATTTTAGGGGTGACACGCAGAGCGCTGAGACTCTTGAGGCCTCTGTAAGGCACCAGGGTCCACCCACATTCCCGTCCACGTAGCAGAAGCGTCTTCATTAATTTTGCTTGCCGTTTTGTTGGGGTGCCATGAAGGCGAGAGAGTGAAAGATGTGTTGACCCCGTCACAATATGTGTGATCTCTCGCCGATAGGTCCTTGTGTGGTGCTTTGCTGTAAAATCCATCTACAACAACTTGCATCCTCAATAAATGGTCCATCATTTTGTCTTCCGTCAGATTGCGAGTCGTCCATCGCCCTGCGGGTCGTCACCTCTCGCTGTCAGGCCAAGAAGAGCTGCGTGGTTCGAGCCTCATCCAGGGAATTTGGGGATCCCTGCTACTCTGGCACCAGGAAGTACCTCAGCGTCATCTACACCTGCGGTAAGTCATCCGCTTCCGACATGTGCCACACGGGGGCGCCGTTTCCCCAATGATAAGCTTCACTGTCTCACCTTGGACACTGTGATTGTATTTATTCATTTTACCAAAAGGGAAAACTGTGTATAGCGAAAGGCAATTATTCTTGGTTTGTGGCATGATTGTGTTGTTGTGGCTTTAAGAACTAGAACCGAATCACATTGTTGGGTGTTCACATGCTGGGATGCCGATGATTATATATTCTTTGTTGCCCGACTAATTCCACGCACAAAGGGATGTAAAACTCCTCGCAAGTCCCAACATTCCAGTTTAAAAGACTTAAATCTGTTGTTTATAGTCTGTGGAGATGAGTGGAAATGATGGTTTTATTCTTTTGTTTGGTCAGTAACGCGCCCCCGGGGCTAATCCCGGCAGGCCAAGGCCGTCGTTCTTTAAACCATTCTCTCGGACGCGCGCACATTATCCAGATGCCCGAACATCCGGGACTGATCAATCAACGTCGTGGCCTGGAGCCTCTCAAATCCGCCACAGCACGGACGACTCAGTCTAGACCTGATTCACACCGGGCTCTCTTGAGTGTCATGTTATCTTTTGAAAGTGCCTTGTCAAATAGTTCTCCAAGTGGCCATCCCCCCCTTTTTTTTTTTTTTAAATCTCGGTAACAACCGCCGGATGCAGACAAGAACAGGCCGACGCTTCAGCCGTGTTTATGGAGTGGTTTTTGTCTTCAATCGTTGTCTGACCTCCCTTATCTGCCTGTGATAACCCATCACGAACTCACCAAACAGCTCGATCAGCGAGCGGGTGTTTGCGAGGAAGGAGGGAGTGGGGGAAGCGGAAGGGTAAATGTTCAACAGAAAGACGCCAGGTTGGGCGATGGAGAGGTTTGAACTTGAGTACGTCGCTGAAGCGGCTGCGGACAGCAAGTTTGCCACAAGGCTCGGGCAATTTTAAATGTCCTTTTCTGACCCAAGTGCTATTTCGCAGTCTTTTTGCAACACGGCAAAATGAATGAAGTGGGGGTGCTTTGTTTTTACGATGGCGTGCGTATTGTAGGTTCTGTGTGGCTCGGTGAACATCAGCTTGAGCTTGTGCGGGTTATCAAAGAATCAGCCTGCGGAGCATTAGACAGTGGAAGCTTGAAAGTCAAACAGCCCGGAGGTCATACGATTCAATCGCCCTACTGTTTGTTTAAAAAAAAAAAAAAACAAACAAAAAAAACCCCACTAAAGGAGTTTCTCTTGCTTACCATTTACTGTGACTGTTCGATGAAAGCGACGGATTCCAATCGGGAACCTTTTGCGCTGCCTTTTTCTAATTTTATCGTGACTTCAACAATAAGCCCGCTAATGGCTTATTTTATATATTTGGATACGCTTTTTACGAGCACTAAGTGTACCACCGGTTTCTTTCTTCTTCAAACGTTCAATATTTACCGCTCAAAAGAGCCGTTTCTTTCGCTATCAAGAAATTCCGGCAGTGCAGTTAAGGTCAAGAGCGACATTGTCAATCACCTTTTTTTTTGTTGTTGTTCTCGACAGAGCATAGTTGTCAGTCAATCGACTTCAAACTTTGCGGAATTTATTGATCTTTGCCGGAGTAAGAGATATAGTTTACGCCGCTAATCCGTGTTCTTGTTCCTATGCGAGTCCCGGCGCTTCAGTTTAGGTCCCTTCCTCCCCCGAGGCATCTCTCTAAACCTAAATCAAGATAAAGAGGCCCTCCCTCTACGACTTCCCGTTTGGTGCGCTGCAGCGTAACGGATGGGCCTCGGTAAGCCTCACGTGAACCATACACAGTAGACTCGGGTTCGGAACACATCAGGGAAAGCTTAACTAATGAACAACGCTAATTGCTGAGGGGGGGGCAGAAATGGATTCATTCGCACCACTGAGCTGCCGCGAAAACACACAGCTCAAGTATTTGGATGTGTAGCAGCTGTCCTCGGGCAGTCGGCGGGGGTACACCCTTGAACCGGCTTGCCAGCCAATCACAGGGCGGACATTGATGAACGACAATCTGTGCACCTGGGGACAATTTAGAGCGTTCCGTTAACCTGCCGTGCATGTTTTTGGAATGTGGGAGTACCCGGAGAAAACCCGTGCAGGCACGTGGGAGAACATGCAACATGTGTTTATACTGGCCCGCTAGCGTGGACCTGCGGTCACTACTCGCTGCTCTGTAGCCCCAAACATTAGTCAACCTCTGGGGGGGGAGCCCCAGAAACATATGTCCGTTAAGTACCCACAAATGAGAATAAACATGTTTTTTAGGATCTGACATCATGCCACACATGCAGTCCTGTGAGGAATCTGGTGCCGGTTCCAAGTCGAAAACCCCCTCAGTTCTCACCCTTTAAAAAAAAAAGTGATTTAGGATGCTTGGCATGATCCAGACCTCAAAATGTTTGATGAACGTTTTTTTTTTTTTTAGACGGTTCCCAATTGCGGTCAAAGAAGAGAAACAGTACTTTGCTTTCATTTCTGCATGCGATGTTTTCTTCTGACAGACTATAAAATTTGGTGGGAAATGCTTATTCGGAACGATCTACTTTCGAGGAAACCCATCATCTCGTCGGCGATCGTGGCTTTCGTTGATACAAACTGTATTACTGTCATTGTGATCGACTAATTGAGGCCCCACCAAAAAAATTTGGTCTTCGACTTTAAATACACAACAAACCATAATCCCCCCAAAAACGTTTTTCAAACTCATTTTACAGCATCGGAGGGAAACCAGAGAGCAAAACGTTTGCGGGTTGAAGAGAAAGTCGGTCTTTGTCTTGGTGCGTTTGAATTTTAGCGAGCAGAAAGGAATGAGGTGCTCCCCGCTCTCGTTTAACACAAACCTGACTCTGCACAAAACAACCGCAGCTGGCACGCTCAGGAACAGCGCTGCGAGAAAATACACGTGACCTCATCTGACCCTCTGTGTGTATGTGTGTGTGTGTGTGTGTGTGTGTGTATTGCATTAATAGCATCTGTTGTGATACCTGCCAATACCCATACAAGGCATTCTGTGTGCGCAATTTGGTACATAGCTTAGCTGCTCTCGGCCAAAGTTAAAAATTAAACATCTGAAAAGTTCCTGGCGCTCCCGAGTGAGGGAGTGGAGGTGGGAGCGGGGGGCGGCTGGCGCCAAAGGGGTTGCCATGGCGACTTGCTGATGCGAGGGGCATGCGGAGATTGTGCTTTGCCAGCAGGTTGAGGTCAGCAGTTGTGTGCCACGCGATAGCGCCTCGTCGACTGTCGTCATCTGCTTATCTGGTCGCCGGCCAAGTCGAGCGGCGCGCACGGACACCAAAGTGCGGTCGTAAGCTCTAATCACCCTCAAACTTTGAGTTTCCGCGTTTTGATTGAGATCACGGGGCGTCGGGGGGTGGGGGAGCGTTTTTCACTTTGAGTAGATTAAAATGCATTTGGGGCAAAGTGGAATTGGCAGAAACGAGAGGTCTTAAATTCCCTCCTCTGTTTTTGCAGCCCCCTCTTGCTTTCGCCCCCACCTTTTTTTTTTTTTTGCTTTCTCCATCCTTGCACTCACACGTTGTCTGTTTATGTAATCACTGCAGCAGTTTTGCTCGCCCGCCGCTCCGAACTAAATGAGTGAACGTGGGGAGTCTTGCTGGGATGCGAACTCTTGACGATCCGGTTCTTAATCGGATGCGATTGACTCACGTAGCTGCAGATCAGTTTTATGCCATTTCATAACTCAATGGTATGAAATCAATCTCTCATTAAGAAATTGTTATAAAGACAGAAATGATGTTTTGGCTCGTCCTCCTCCGGTTCTCGAAATGGCAATTCCAAAGAGCGTTCACGTTGTTGCGATCAACGCGTTGAAGGAAGTCATGCACATCGACACAAGCGCATCTCTCCCATGTCGGCAACGGGATATTTGGGCCGCAAAGTGCAATTTAAGCGACCCCACAAGGGGGCCTCCCCCCCGTTCCCTCGTAAAGTCGCACACTCGGGGCACAACAGTCTCTGCGTCGCTCGGCGCACCGTGGCTCTTTAAATGTTTTTGTTTTCCGTCCAGCGTGTTCAATAGGAAAGTGGTGGTCGTTGGTGGGAGCCAGTGGGGGCTGGGTTGAATTTGGTGTTGGTGGGGGGGGGGGTCTAATTCTTTTCAGCTTGTGGCTGGTTTCAGTTTTCTTCATGCGCTGGATGAAGATGGAGGATGGAGTGAGAGAATGAGGAAAACAAATCAGAAGGAAGCACGAGCGTATTTGTGTGCGTGTGTTGATGTGAAGAAGCCGTGGGGCAAATGAAATAAATGGCTGCACGTTTCCAGGTCGTCCCGCAGCACCGCAAATGTCATGTTGTGATGGCGATTTGCGATTTTCCGACATCTAGCTTCACGTCAGAATCAAAAGTTGATCTGTTTTCAAATGTGAACTAAGTCATCAAGTTTCACTCGACTTTCCCATGGCTGCTATTTTTACCCAACGCTGACGTGAACTGAGACCTGCAGAGGGTTTTTTTTTAAATGTTTTTATTGACCTTCTGGATAAATTGGCCAAACCCTGCCCGGTACACTTCACCACTGTTTCCAGTTTTCTGCGTTTGTGAAAAATGACTCCGACCGTAGTTCACTGGAGTCCCACATCCGTTTTTGTAACCATTCCCTGACTGATATCGATTTCAATCACTTAAACCTTTTCCCCCCCCGTTGTGTTTTTGTTCTCCACGGTGCTTTTCACGACATTGTACGAGTAGGCTGGTTGAGCCTGTTGCGCACCAACCTTCCCTGTTTCATCTGAATGAAATCCCCAGGTCATTTCCTGTAGCTGCACACTGCCGCCTCTCTCTCTCTTTCTCTCTCTCTCTCTCTGACACACGTATCCACGTCCCCCCCATTGTACCCCTCCCCTTTTCACATCCCTCGGACTGCTAACACAGTAGAGTGTTGTGGAGGTGAACACTACTACATGTCCGGCTTGTGTCTGCCGCTTCCCTCTTTCTCACTCTCTCTCGTTCTCTCTCTCACACACACCCTTCCTCCCT